AAGCTCGACAGCACCTGCATCTCCTCGCGGTCGATCGCAATGTATACCTTCTCTTACCACGGCGCCTGCTCCTCCATGATAGATTACTTTCTGTTCGGCATTCGCGCGAGAACGCGAGGTCCCAGGCCGACCCGGCGCCCAGGGTGTCCCGGGCCACGCCAAGCTCTTCGAACGAAGGACTGCCTGCGCTCCCCTCTGGAACACCTGGAGATCCCGTCCGTGTTCACCGCGGTCGCAGACGTCAGAACGATCCAGGCCCCGTCGAGCGAGGGCATCCATCAGAGCTGCAGCTGCAACCGTTTCCGGAACTGCTGAATGCACCTCCTGACTTGGCACCCCCTGCTTCTTCTTCTTCCGACTGTCTTCCCCATCCCTTACGCCCCCCCCCCCGCCCCCCCAGTCCTATCTCCTTCTTTGTCTTAATTCCTCTGACTGTTTCCTACTTTTCTTTTTCCCTTGCCCTGTTGTTTCCGTAGCGCCCCAGAAGCGCTTCATGGCGCCGGTCTCGGCGTCGATCACCCGCGAACCACAACACCCCGCCCCAATGCGCCCACACCGCCGCCCTTGTTTCGGTATCCTATCCGGTCGATATAGATTCACTGTCACAAATTCAGGCTCTTCTCGCTCCCCTCCGTTGTCCTTCGGGTCCCATCCAAGATCTGGCACGCCGGCCCGAATTTCTCGGTGTCCTGCTATAGCCCAGGCGTCTGTTTGACCAACCAGTCCCCCTATCTGACCCCCCCACCTTTCAACACACGGCAAGTTGCCACTTCCACGTGGGTTGAAACTTCAGGAGATGCGAGTCGGGACCGCCGTTGCGGCCGACCCACACGTTGTCCATGTGGTCGACGAAGATGCCGTGGTTCGAGGCCGGCCACTCGTAGCCCTCGCCGGGGCCGCCCCAGTAGTTGACGAGGAGCCCCGACTGGTCGAACTCTAGAGAGCACCGGCGGCGCCGGGAAGCAGCACTCGGCCGCCACCGGAGGATCCTGCGCCGCCGGCACCTCGCCGGCCGACAGGAATCGACGCGGTGGACGATCCAGATGTGGTCGCGGTTGTCGACCGACACCCCGATGGTGGTGCCGAGCAGCCAGTGGTCTTCCGGCCAGCGCTTCGGCCACAGCGGATTCGCCACCTCGCGACTACCGGTCGGGCCCACCCAGACCAGGAAGGTTCGCCCACTGCATCGCCTCGGTTCGGTTCAGCGTGGCGCCGACCCCGATCAGTGCGACAGCGACAGCCGCCAGGCCACGTGCGAACAGCCAGCCGTCGTCCTTTTCTCGTCTGCATGACTGCTCTCCTCCCAGGTTCCAGCAGATCCTCTGGCACCCGTCCAGCAGATCTCTGGTATCACGACCCGCCTGATGCAACCACCCTCACATCGCCGCCGGCAAGCGCCGCCGACAAACGCGCCGACCCGCAAGTGAGCGCCGTCGTACGTTCTGAATTCGGCTGCGGCACGATCGAAGATGTATGGTCGCAGGGCTGCTGCAGACCGATCAGGATACGCGGCCCGCGCGGCCTCGTCGGAAACCGCCGGCAGGATGATGACGTCCTCGCCCTGCTTCCAGTTCACGGGGGTGGCGACCTTCTTCGACGCGGTGAGCTGACACGAGTCCACCAGCCGCAGAATCTCGTCGAAGTTGCGGCCGGTGCTCATCGGGTACGTGATGGTCGCCTTGAAGCTTTCTTGGTCGGCCGATAGGAACACCGACCGGGGTCGCGTCCGTTGTCGGTCCCTGGCTGTCCGCAACACCCTCGCTGGTGTCCCCGGCGGCGGCCGGCAGCATGTCGACGTAGCCATGTGCTTGACGACTCTTCAGCTGACGGTGGACTCGCCGATGCGGCTGATACCGGTCCCCGACCCCACCGACACGCAAGTGGTGCCCTAGCGACGCTCGAGTGTCCCCGCGAACCAAGGCCGCGTGGTTGCTACCACGAAACAGCACGCCGCACAGCATCAGCGCGCCGTCGACGACTGGATGCCGAGAATCTTGCAGTTGCGCTTCTCGAACTCCGGTTGAAGCCCGGCCATGTACCCCAGCTCGGTCGTGCACACCGGGGTGAAGTCCTTGGGGTGCGAGCACAGGATGGCCCAGCCGTCCCCGATCCATTCGTGGAAGTTGATGGTGCCCTGCGTCGACTCCGCCGTGAAATCGGGGGCGACGTCGTTGATGCGTAGCGACATCTGGAATTTCCTCCTGGCTTGACCTACTCGACGGTCCAGAGCGTCAGCGACTCGATGTCCTTGACGTACACCCGGTTCCCGGCCAGCGTGGGTTGGGTCCAGGTCGAGCTCTCCGCCACTTCGTACCGCTGCACCGGCTCGAAAGCGGTGCGGCTGTGGGCAGCACGACCAGCTCGGCATCGTCCTCCAGCGACAGGATGGTGGTGCCCGCGTTCAGGATGGCGGCGTTCTCCGCCTGCCGCGGCGCGCTCGTCCAGAGCACCTCGCCGGTGTCGAGATCCAGACCGAAGTACTGGCCGCTGTTCAGATGCGACAGCCCGTACATCACGCCGTCGACGACCACCCCATTGGTCAGGTGCAGCCCCACCTCGTCGGTGTGCCACACGTTCTCGGTGGTCCAGGCATTGCCCTCGCGGACGATGCGGAAGCGGGTGACCCCGTTGCCGCGGCCGGTCTCGATCAGGTCGCCCTCGTAGAGATGCGGCGTCTGCGACGTGGTCGTCGACGGGGTCGTGAAGGGCCGGCTCCACAGCAGTTGCCCGGTGTCGGCCGCCACTCCGACGAGGTTCTCCTGGGTGAAGTTGATGACCTGCCGGACGCCTTCGACCTCGGCGATGATCGGCGAGCCGTAGGCGGGTCCGTCGCCGTCCCAGCTCCACCGGACCTCGCCGGTGGCGGCGTCGAACGCGGTCAGCGCGCCGTTGTCCTGGCCGCCCACGTGCACGATCACCCGATCGCCGTCGACGAGGGGCGACTGGCCGGTGTGGTAGAGCGGCTGGACCGGATCGCCGGGCCGCTGCCACACCTGCCGGCCGTCCGCGGCGTCGAATGCGGTGACGATGCCGCTCATGCCGAGCGTGAAGAGACGCCCGTCGGCGTAGGCCGGGGTCGACTTGGGTCCGGGGCCGTGATTGCGGGTGGCCGGCAGCATCTGGAACGGGGCCGGATAGCTCGATCGCCAGACGGTCGCACCGGTGGCGGGGTCGAGCGCGTGCATCACTTCATCGTCCCCCTGCCGGCTGAACAGGTAGATCCGATCCCCGACGAGGAGCGGCGTCGCGTAGCCGAACCCCACCTCGACGGTCCACTGCCGGGTGAGCCCCTCGGGCCAGGACGCCGGCACGTCGAACCCGACGACCGAGCCGTCCCGATTCGGTCCCCGCCACTGCGGCGTGTCCTGGCCGGCCACCGGCGCCGGCGCCATCGTCACGCCGATCATCAACGCGATTCCGACCACCATCAGACGCTTCAGCACCACTACCCTCCCTCATATCAACCGGTGGCGCGAGCCGCCCCGCCGTCCACCCGCCTTCGTGCGACGCGGGACATCCCCGACCGACCGCCACCAATTCCAACTCCGCATCCTGCTTCGGGCGGCTGCCCGCAACAATGCCAATGCCCCTCATCGCCCGGCCCGAACCAAAGTAGCCTGCTCCGGGAGCTTCGCGTACACCGACTAATGATTATAGGATGCAAGACACGACCCTGGATACCGTCGCACTGGAGAACCCGATGAGCCTTCGATTCCCCCTGATCGCCGTACTCTGTCTGGCCCCGCCGTTGCCGGCCGCGGCCCAGGACCTCGCGCCCGCCGAGCCCGAATCCGTCGGAATGTCGTCGAGCCGCCTCGCCGAGGCCACCGAGGCGCTGCAGGCCCACGTCAACGGGTCGGACATCGCCGGGGTGGTGGCGGCGGTGGCGCGCCACGGCCGCGTCGTGTACTTCGAAGCGCTCGGACAACGCGACCGGGAGACCGGCGACGCGATGGCCCGCGACGACCTGTTCCGACTGTACTCGATGACCCGGCCGATCACGAGCACCGCGGTCATGATGCTGTGGGAGGAGGGCCGGTTCCAGCTGGACGATCCGATCGCGCGGTACCTGCCGCAGTTCGCCGACCAGCGGGTGTTCGAGGACCCCGGCGCCCCCGATCTCGCCCGGACCCGCCCGCGCTCGGGCGACATCACCGTGCGGCACCTGCTGACCCACACCTCCGGCATCGGCAGCCGCAGCACCCCCATCTACCGCGCCGAGGGGGTCCGGCTGCGGTCCATCACCCTGCCCGAGATGGTGGACAACGCCGCCCGCGTGCCCCTGTTCGAGGACCCCGGCACGCGCTTCCGATACGGCATCTCCACCACCATGCTCGGCCGCCTGGTGGAGATCTGGTCGGGACAGCCGTTCGAGGAGTTCCTCGCCGAACGGCTCTTCGAACCCTTGGGGATGACCGACACGGTGTTCTGGGCGGACGGCGAGCGTGCGGACCGGCTCACCACCGTCTACCGCCTCGACGACGGCAGCGGCGAGCTCTACCCCTGGGCCATCGAGAGCGTGCCGTTCACCGAGCGTCCCGCCCTCATCGAGGGCGGCGTCGGCCTGCTGTCGACGGTCATGGACTACTGCGCTTCTCGCAGATGTTCCTGAACGGCGGCACGCTGGACGGCGTGCGGGTGCTCGAGCCGGAGACCGTCGCCCTGATGACCCGGAACCACGTGCCGGACGCGGTGCTCCCGCTGTCGCGCTCCGGCTACATGGCGGGGTCCGGCTGGGGCCTCGGGTTCAACGTCGTGCTCGACGCCGGCCGCTATTCCTTCCCGGTCGGCGACGGCGAGTCACATGGTAGGGCACGGCTCGTCCGGACCGGTTCATTCGAAAACCATCGAACCTCGAGCAACCCCGGCCTCGTCACCGTGACAACGGCCTCATGCCGCGGTCTCGCCGTCGGGCGCCGGGTCCGCGAGGCAGATCCAGATCTCGGTCCACCGGGCGATCGTGGACGGGCGCCAGCCGTCTGCACCGTAGAAACGGCGCGGACGCGCCGCTCGCCCGGCCGGCGGCGACCATGGCCGCCGGCGACCTGCTCCCCTGGACGCTGCCGGCCCGCCTCGCATGTCGGTCGCCGGCAACGCGCGTCACGGGTTCAGGGCCCGACCGGCGCCTGGCAGTCGGTCTCGCGATCGACGACGACCGGCCACCAGCCGACGAACGCCGCGTCCGAGCCCGCGATGGGCAGAATCAGGTCGAGGTCGCCGAGGGCGTCCCCTCCTGCGCCGTCCTCCACCAGCTCGTTCAGACGCCGGCGGAACGCCGCGACCTCGGGGATGTCGAACAGCACGAAGTAGAACTCGCGGGTGCGGCCCGCGAAGGTCTCCCGCTTCACCGCCATGCACACCGGCTGGAGGCGCGCCCGTTCGAGCCCGGCGTCGCCTGCCGCCTGCCGGATCGCCTCCGCCGAGAGTGGTGCGCCCGCTCCCCCTGAGAGCTCGCGGGCGAGCACGATCGGCAGCACGTCGTCCAACGGCGACGTCATCGACGCCATGTTCCGATCGAACAGTTGGTCGAACAGGCCGGAACGGAACAGGGCCGGCGGCACCGCCCAGACCGCGGGGCGTGTCGGGTCCGCCAGCACCAGGGTCCAGCCGGACAACGCCTCGGGCTCCACCGCGTAGGGTTCGGCGATGGTGTTCTGCAGCGTCCGGAGGAACAGCCACGGCACCACGATCAGGGCGATCAGTCCGAGGCCGAGCTTCACGAGGGTCTGCTTGCGCATGGGTTCAATCCGAAGGTGCGTCCGGCTGCCGGCGATGCGCGCGGGACGACTAGTCGTCGGGCTCCTGGACGAAGCGATAGCCGACCCCGCGCACCGTCAGCAGATGCCGCGGATGGGCCGGTTCGGTCTCGATGTAGCGCCGCAGCCGCGCCACGAAGTTGTCGACGGTCCGGGTGTCGGTGTCCTGGCGCACCCCCCACACCTCTTCGAGGAGGGTCTGCCGAGACACCGTCGCGCCCGCGTGCTGCACCAGATAGCGCAGCAGCGTCGCCTCCATCAGCGTCAGCGGCTGCTCGGCGCGGTCGCGGCGCAGCACCTGGTTGCGAAAGTCGACGTGCCGGCCGGCAAACGAGTACTCGTCGTCCTCCGCCGCCTGCCCCGCCTCCTCCCCGTGCAGCCATCGGCGGCGCCTGAGCAGCCCCTGGATCCGCGCCAGCAGGATGGACAGATCGAACGGCTTGGGGCAGATAGTCGTCAGCGCCCGCCTCGAATCCGCGCAGGACGTCGTCGGTGTGCGAACGCGCCGTCAGCAGCATGACCGGGACGAAACGGCGCGCCGCCCGCAACCGCCGCACGACCTCGAAACCGTCGAGGCCCGGCAGCATGACGTCGAGCAGCACGACGTCGAAGGCGTTGGCGCCGACGCCCCCGTCGTCGAGGAGCCGCTCCAGGGCGTCCTCGCCGTTGTCCTCGACATCGGCCGCGAACCCCTCCGCCTCGAGATTGAGCTTCAACCCGGCCGCGAGATGTTCTTCGTCTTCGACGATGAGGACACGGTTCATGACTTCAAAGGCAGCTCGAGGGTGAACGTGCTCCCCCGCTCGGCCCCCCGGCTGTCCGCGTACGCGCGCCCGCCGTGCCGCCGCGCCACCGCGAGCACGATCGACAGTCCGAGGCCCGTCCCCCGCACCCGCGACTGCAGCGCGGCGGGCAGCCGGTAGAACCGGCGGAACACCCGCTTCAGCTCGTGCCCGGTGATGCCGATGCCCTGGTCGCGCACGCTGACGGCCACCCGGCGCGCCCCGATCCGCGCCACGTCCACCGCCACCCGCACGCGATCACCCGAGTACTTGACGGCGTTGTCGACGAGGTTTGTCACCGCCGCCGTCAGCTCCTCCCGATCGCCCTGGACGACGAAGGCGCCGTGGGGGAGCCGGCCGACCACCTCCACCTCGCCGTTCACGAGGTGATGGCGCTTGCCGGCGAGCGAGACGCACTCTCCCACGACCTCGGACAGATCGACGTCGGTGGGGTTGTCGACCCGGCGCGCGTCGCCGGTCTTGCCGGCCAGCAGGATCTGATCGATGGTCCGCTGCAGGCGATCGGAGTCGTCGAGCATCGTGTCGATGATGTCCTGCCGGGTGCCGGCCGGCAGCTCCCGCTGGCGCAGCGTCTGCAGATACAGCTTGATGCTCGCGAGCGGCGTCTTCAGCTCGTGGGTGACCGCGTGGGATGAAGGCGTCGTGCTGCTCGCTCTTCCGGATCTCGCGGATCAGGAAGGCGGTGTTCAGGGTCAGGCCGCCGACCAGGACCACGAAGCTGACCACGCCCAGCAGCAGCAGCAGCCCTGTCCGCCAGTTTACGACGATGAAGTTGATGTTGAGCGCGACCGCGACGGCGATCAGGCCGGCGCCGAGCAGCGCGACCAGGATGGTGCGTTTGCGATTCCCGCCGGAGCGATCCATACGCATAAGGATAGCGTCTCCGCCCCCCCGTTGCGACGGACCGCCGAGCCGCCGTCCAGGAGCCCGTGACCGCAACTGCGCCGCAGAAGTTTCGCGCCAGCGAACTTGCATGTGACCGCCAGTCGGGCCGCAGAAGTTTCGCGCCAGCGAACTTGCATGTGACCGCCAGCTGCGCCGCAGAAGTTTCGCGCCAGCGAACTTGCATGTGACCGCATCGGCCGCAGAATTCGCCCCAAGCAACTGCATGGACCGCCAGCTGGCCGAGAAGTTTTCCGCGCCAGCGAACTTGCATGTGACCGCCAGCTGCGCCGCAGAAGTTTCGCGCCAGCGAACTTGCATGTGACCGCCAGCTGCGCCGCAGAAGTTTCGCGCCAGCGAAACTTCCAACGCGACCGAAGGTCGCGCGCCTACGCAGCGTTCTCGAGCGACAGCGTCTTGTGGACGATCTGCGTGGCGCTCGGGACCTGCACATCCCACGCGAGCCCCAACCATTGCATCACACGAAGCTGCATCCAGCTCAGGTCGACTTCCCACCAGGTCATGCCGTGTCGGGCGGACCGGGGGTGGGCATGGTGGTTGTTGTGCCAGCCCTCCCCGAAAGTGATGAGGGCCACCCAGAACGAGTTCTTCGAATCGTCGCTGGTGTTGAAGCGGCGGCTGCCCCAGAGATGGGTCGCCGAGTTGATGAGCCACGTGCAGTGGAGACCGACGACGACGCGGAGAAACACCCCCCACAGCGCCCACGTCCAGCCGCCGATCGCAATCAGCGCCAGCCCCAGAACCACCAGCGGCACCCAGTGCCACCGCGTGAGCACCTGATAGAACCGGTCCTTCATCAGGTCGGGGGCGTACTTGCCCATGATCGCGGTGTCGTGGTGCAGCTCTTCGCCGAAGATGGTCCACAGCATGTGCGACCACCACTTGCCGTCGCGCGGCGTGTGCGGATCGCCGGTCTTGTCGGAGTGCTGGTGATGGATGCGGTGCAGCGCGGTCCAGAACACCGGCCCGCCCTGAAGCGTCAGGCAGCCGCAGATCGCGAAGAAGTACTCGACGAGCTTCGGCGTCTTGTAGGAACGGTGCGTATGGAGCCGGTGATAGCCCAGGCCGATGCCCCAACCGATGCACATCCAGTGCAGCACCGCGGCCACGACCACCGCCTGCCAGGTCACGTTGAACAGCGCCACTACCGCCAGGACATGGAAGACAACGAACGCGGACGCGGTCACCCAACTGACCTTGTCTCCGCTGGCGAAATCGATCTCCTTGGTGGGCACGGCAGCTCCTTCGGGAAACGGTCCGGGCACCGGCGCCCGGCCGACTGCAGTCAGCCTAACAAGCTCCGCGCGCAACCGATGTAATAGTTGTGTAATTGCGTGAAGGGGACGGGCGGCGGGGGCGGAGCCGGCGCCGCGCCGCCTTCGACGGGACGCGCGGCGACGGGTGGGGGGCCGGCTTCCACGGCCCGCGGCCTTCGCATGCCGCCAGCCCGCGCGAGAGTTCGTATCGGGCCGGCGGCGGCGCCGGGCGGGACGCTCCCCTACAGCGGCGGGTGCTGCAGATGGTGGTCGGTGGCCATCTGGAACGCGTGGGCCAGACGCAGAATCTCCCGCTCCCCGAACAGCTTGCCGGTGAACCGCAGGCTGGTGGGGCTCCCCTCGTGGAACCCGCTGGGCATGCTGATCTCGGGATGCCCGGTCAGGTTCGTCAACCCGAGGTTGCTGCCGACGAACAGGTCGAAGTCGCCGAGCGCCTCGTGCAGGTCCTCGATGATGCGCATGCGCAGGCGATTGGCCTGCAGATACTCGATGGCCGGCACGAAGCGGGATACCCGGAAGCTGTCCGGCCACCGGCTGCGCTCGGGCTCGTCCCGCATGCCGTCGAGCCGGGCGTTCAGGGTCGGCACGTCGAACGCCGCCGCCGCCTCGGTGCCGAGGATGAAGCCGATCGCCCCACTCGGCAGATCGGGCAGGTCGAGCGGCGCCACCTGCACCCCGAGGCCGCGGATCGCGTCGAGGGCGGCCCGGTTGTTGCCGAGCGTCTGCCGGCGGCCGGCCCGCTGGGGTGTGTTCTCGCCCTCGCCGGCGTCCTCGTCCTCGAACGCCGACCGCAGGTACGCGACGCGCAGGGCGGTACGTCGCTGGCCGCGTCCCAGTTGAACGGCACGTCGAGCAGGGTGTTGTCGAGCCCGTCCGGTCCCTGGATGGCCGCGAAGACGAGGGCGCAGTCCTCGGCCGACCGGCACATCGGGCCGATCTTGTCCATGGTCCAGCTCAGGGCCATCGCGCCGTGGCGGCTCACCCGGCCGAACGTCGGCCGCAGGCCGGTGACCCCGTTCCGGGTCGAGGGCGAGATGATGGACCCGCGGGTCTCGGTGCCGATCGAGAACCCGACGAGACCGGCCGCGGTCGCCGCCCCCGGGCCGGCCGACGATCCGCTGGATCCCTGCTCGAGGTTCCAGGGGCTGCGGGTGCGGCCACCGAACCAGCGGTCGCCGGAGGCCAGGGCCCCCATCGACAGCTTCGCCACCAGTACGGCCCGGCCTCGGTGAGCCTGCGATAGACGGTCGCGTCGGTGTCGATGGTCTGCTCCCGATAGGGCGAGGCGCCCCAGGTGGTTCGGGTCCCCCGCACCGCGAGGAGGTCCTTGGCGCCCCAGGGAATCCCGTGCAGCGGCCCCCGGTAGGTCCCCGCCGCGATCTCCTCGTCGGCCCGCCGGGCCTGGCGCCGGGCGAGGTCCTCGGTGTAGCTGACCACGCAGTGCAGCGCCGGATCGTGCTGCTTCAGCCGCGCCAGGTAGAGCTCGGTCAGCTCCGACGGCTTGACCTGCCGCGTCTCGACGAGCCGTGCGAGATGGGTGACGGGCAGGAAGGCCAGGGCCTCGTCGCTGGCCGGCATGGCGACGGTGACCGGCTCGCGCCGGTTGGGGACCGCGCTCGGCCGGCAGGGTCATGCCCGGCGGCACCGAATTGAACACGATGGCCGGCTGCTGGGAGTTCCCGAGGTTCGCGGCCCGCAGCGTCTCGTAGTCCCGCCGCCGGTCACCCGCGCCGTTCAGGCGCTCGGCCAGCCGCTGGAGCTCGTCGGGCGTGAACTGCAGCCCCGCGAGCCGCTGCGCCGCCTCGAGCATCTCCACCGTGACCACGTCCGCATCCTGGGCCACCGCCACGAGGGCGCCGGGGAGCAGGGTCGACCCGAGCCCGGCCGCCGACAACGCCCCCAGAAAGTGCCGCCGGTTCGTCGCGAGCTTGACGTCATCCATGGCCAGGTCCCTGTCGTCATCCGGTGGGAGAAGCGGCGTCCTGCCGTCTTCCGCGTCTGTTCTTCCCCAGCGACGGGCGCGATCCGAAGGCGGCGCCGCCCTCCTCGGCCGGCCCGTGATCAGACCGTCCGGACGCCGGCGCCATCGCTCGATGCGTCAGCCCGCCGCCAAGAGCGAACCCTCATTCTACTGAATCCGGCGCGGCGGGTTCCCGGCGAGCTCGGGCCGACGCCCGACCTCGACCCGACCCGCTTCCGGAGAGCCGAACGAGGACATGCGGACGTTCCCCGACGCACGAGTCCGACCGGCGCCGCCCCCCCGACCCGCCTGATACGATGCCCCGCGTGGACCTGAACCCGTTCGGGTGGCTTTCGCTCCTGCCGCCGGCCCTGGCCATTGGCCTCGCCATCGCGACCGTCGGGCGGTCCCCTCGCTGCTGGCCGGCATCTGGGTCGGGTGGCTGATCGTCGCAGGGTGGCAGCCGCTCGCGGCGACGTCCGCCGCCGCGCGCGGCATCGCCAATGTGCTCTCGAATCCAGGACAGGCCCGCGTGGTCCTGTTCACGGTCCTCATGGGGGTGCTCATCCGGTGGATGCAGCGGAGCGGCGGGGTCGCCGGGTTCCTGCGGTGGGCCCGAAACCGCAACTGGGCGGACAGCCCCCGCGGGGCCCGGCTGATGGCCGCCGTGGTGGGGCTTGGCGTGTTCATCGAGTCCACGATCACCTGCCTCGTCGTGGGCACGGTGGCCCGGCCGTTCTTCGACCGCCACCGCATCGCCCGCGAGAAGCTGGCGTACATCTGCGACGCGACGTCGGCGCCGGTGTGCATGCTGATCCCGCTCAACAGCTGGGGCGCCGTGGTGCTCGCCCTGCTGGCGGCCCAGGCCGAGCTGGGCCGGCTCGGCGATCAGGCCCCTCTGGCCGTCTTCATCGCCGCCGTCCCGTTGAACTTCTACGCGGTCCTGTCGGTGCTGCTGGTCTTCGTGGTGGCGGGGACCGGGTACGACGTCGGACCGATGCGGGCCGCCGAGCACCGGACCCGGGAGGCCGGGCCGTCGTTGGACGCGAACCCCAACGCGCATCCGCCGGCCGAAGCGGCCGGCGGGGCGTCGTACGGGGCTCGACCCGGCGCGGCCGGCGAAGCCTCGTACGAGGCTGCACGCGGCGGGGCGGAAGGCGGGCTCGCAGACAACGGCCCGGCACGGGGTCGGGCGCGCCATCTCGCGATGCCCCTCGCGGTGATGATGGGGACGGTCCTGGCGGCATCGCCGTCACCGGCATCGCCGGCGCGCGCGAGGCCGGCATCACCGACCCCACGCTGATGGACTGGCTGGAGCACGCCTCGGGCTCCAGCGCGGTGCTGGCCGGCGTCATCGCCGCCCTCGCTTTCCTGGGCGTGGCCGCGACCGCCTCCGGCGACACCGGTCCCCGCGAGCTGGCAGACGCGGCCTGGCGCGGGGCGGGGTCGATGCTGCCCATCGCCAGCCTGCTCGTGCTGGCCCTCGCCATCGGCGGCGTCTGCGAGGCCCTGGGCACGGGACCGTTCATCGCGGCCCGCGCCGCCCCTCTCCTGACGCCTGCCATCGCCGCGCCCGTCGTCTTCCTGACGTCGGGGGTCATCGCGTTCGCGACGGGGACGAGCTTCGGCACCTTCGCCATCATGATCCCGCTGGCCGTGCCCCTCGCGGCGGCCATGCAGCTCGACGGCGCCGGAGTCACGCTGCCCCTCGTCGTCAGTGCGGTGCTGGGCGGAGGCGTGTTCGGCGACCACTGCTCGCCGATCAGCGACACCACCGTGATCTCGTCTGCCGCGGCCGGGAGCGACCACATCGAGCACGTGCGCACCCAGGCCCCCTACGCCCTGGCCGCAGCCGGGGTCACCGTGGTCCTGTATCTGCTGGCGGGAATGCGGGTGGCCGGATGACCGCGGGCTGGAACGCCGGTATCGGCTCCAGCGTCAGCCCGGCCGACATGTCCGGTTGACCCAAGTCGAAACGCTGGCGCCGCCTCGACGAAATCGCCTCTCCGCGCGGACCACGCGCTGGTCGCGGGAAACGGGTTCCCTCGCCGATTCAGTCCCGCGTGATCTTGCCGATGATGTAGCCGCCGGACCGCTCGTCGAGGTCGAGCTGCAGTTGGCCGCGCGCCTGCGCCTCCTCGAGGAGGTCGTTGAACGAACCGAAGCCGTAGGCCGATTCGTTGAACCCCGGACGCCGCCGCTTGAGGGTCTGCTTGATCATCGACCCCCACAGCTTCGCCCGGTCGCCGCGTTCCGCGTAGATCGCCTCGGCCGTCTGGATCACGAGGTCGATGGCCGGCTGCACCGAATCGTCCCTCTCGTCCTTCGCGGGCGCGGGCGCGGCGGCCTTCTTCGGCTTGTCGGCGGGCGTCTTCGCCCGCGACTTGCCGCGGGACCGCCGGCGGGCGGGCTGGCCCTCCGCCACCAGATCGTCATAGAAGATGAACTCGTCGCAGTTGTTGACGAGCAGATCCGAGGTGGCGTTCTTCACCCCGACCCCGATGACCGCCTTGGCGTTCTCGCGCAGCTTGCTGACCAGCGGGGAGAAGTCGGAATCGCCGGAGATGACGACGAACGTATCAATGTGCTCCTTCGTGTAGCACAGGTCGAGCGCATCGACCACCATGCGGATGTCGGCCGAGTTCTTGCCCGCCTGCCGCGCGTGGGGAATCTCGATGAGCTCGAACGCCGCCTCGTGCATCGGCGCCTTGAACTCCTTGTAGCGGTCCCAGTCGCAGTACGCCTTCTTGGCGACGATGCTGCCCTTCAGCAGGAGCCGTTCGAGCACCGGCCGCACGTCGAACCGTTTGAGATCGGCGTCGCGGACCCCGAGGGCCACGTTCTCGAAGTCGCAGAAGACCGCCAGGTTGCCGTCGCCGTTCAAGAATGGACTCCCCTCTGCTCACGATCCGCGCGGATCGAGTGGCGCCGCCCCCAGCCGGTCATCATCGCGGGTCGGACCCGGCAGCCGCGGTCTGCCGGGCCAGCACCTCGTTGAACAGCGCCTCGACCGCGTCCAGCTCCTCCCGGTAGCCGTCAGGATCGATGAACGGGTTCGGGCCGTCGCCGAGACGCGCGTACTTCTCGGCCATTCGATACATCGCCGGGTGCGACCCCAGCGGCACATCCGGCCGGAGCGACCGCAAGACCCGGAAGCCCTGCCGGTACTGATCGACGATGGTCGGATTGTCGGGATTGTCGACGAACCGGAAGTTCGGGTTGCTTCCCATGCTGCCGATGATCACCACGTCGTGCCGCTCGCCGTCCTCCTCGATCTGCATCGTCCAGGTGGTGCAGCCGCGCGAGTGTCCCGGTGTCAAGCGGGCCGTCAACGTCGTGTCCCCGAGCGTGACCGTCGCCCCGTCCTGCAGCACCCGGTCGATCGGATGCGGCTTGCCGCCGGGACGCATCCGCTCGAGCGCCGGCACGTCGCCGGCCATCGCCATCACGCGAGCGCCGGTCATCTGCTTCACCAGCGCATCGCCTTCCATGTGGTCGGCATGGGCATGGCTCCCCAGGATGATCCGGATGTCATCGAAAGCGAAGCCCAGCGCCTCGACCGACGACTTCAGGCCACCGACCGCCCGCTCCCAGTTGGTGTTGATCAGGATGTGCCCTTCGGGCGTCGCGACCAGGAAGGCGGCGAGGCTGCGCGTCCCGACGTAGTACAGATTCCCGACGATCGCATGCGGCGGGAAGGGCGTCACCTGATCCTCGGGCGTCCCGACGTTGCGCCGGAACATCTCCTCGGCGGTCAGCCGGCGTCCGCGCTCCTGCGCCTCGGCCGCGGCGGCGCCCAGGAGGACCACGCCGGCCATCACGACGACGCTCAATCTGCCCTTGACCACCATCACCCTCCAATGCCGAGCGGAGCCGGGGACATGCCCGCCGGCCGTCTCGATGGTAGCCGGATACGAGTGTCGTCCCGCACCCGGCCCGCCGATCGCCGGCCAGAGAAAACGAAGGCGGGCCCGGGGACGTTCCCGGACCCGCCCAGGTGTCGGCAAACCGTCTGTCACGGACTCGCCGCGGAGATGCGCCTCGATCGCGCACCACCGCGACGGCGGCGGCCCGCTTGACCGCCGCGCCGGCCCGATCGGCTACTCGCCGGCCGGCAGCCGCAGCGCCGCGAGCGACGCGGGGAAGCTGCCGCCCTGCGCGATCTGCACGACGATGTACTGCTGGCCCTCGTGCATGTAGGTCATCATGCCGTACTGACCCGGCGCGGGCAGCTCGACGACGCCGAGCACCTCGCCGGTGGCCTTGTCCCGCGCGTCGAGCACGGCCGGCCCGTTCATCCCCCGCGTCGTCAGCAGGAGACTGCCGGTCACCATGGACACGGCCCGGCTGCCGCCGCCGACCCCGGTCAGGATCGACGCCCTGCAGGGCCGGATGCCGCTGCATGCGCTCGGACGCCTCGCCCACCGGCTGCCACCAGAGATGCTCGCCGGTGTTCATGTCGATGGCGGTGATGCGGTTGTAGGGAGGCTTGTGCATCGGCAGACCCTGGGGGCCGCCCCAGCCGACGCCGCCGCCCTGCACCCAGTCGGACACCGTCGTGCCCGTCGTCCAGCAGTCGCCCTCGGACGACGTGCAGGAGTGGGTGTCGCCGTCGGTGTTGGCGCCCGGCTGCACCAGCCGGCCCGAGCACTGCGGCCCCGACGGCTGGTAGAGGATGCCGGTGGTCGGGTCGAGCGACGCCGGGTTGGTGATGTTGAGCCCGCCCGAGCAGCCGATCCATCCCTGGACCGACTCGTTGTGGCCCTCCGGCAGCGGCGGCATGTAGGGCCCGCCGATCCGGAAGTTGCTCATGATCTCGAGCGCCTCGGCGCGCAGCTCGGGGTGAAGTCGATGACGTTCTCCTCGGGGAGGCCGAGGGCCTCGAGCGGCGCGGGCCGCGTCGGAATCGGCTGGGTCGGCGAGAGCTGCTCGCCGGGGACGACCGACGCCGGCACCTCGACCTCCTCGATCGGCCAGACCGG